TCCAAGACATTAATCATTTGTACATTAAATTTCCCTGTAAAAATTCTTTGTATTTTTCATGAATTTTACGTCAGAGAATTAGCGGTTTAAGTATTTTACGTAGTTAATATAAAAATTCCAATCAAACAATCTACAAATCCTCTTATGAACTTTGACATTGCACGTCATATAAATAAAATACTTATTGACTTCTTGTGCAGATGTACAAACTCGTGTTCTTCAATTTTCAATTGTGTTTGTCAGGTCCACAATTAAGTGCCCCCTAATCACAGTTACCCAAATAGTAAATGAAGATAATTGTATTGAAAGTGGTGACCTATTTTTCAAAAATCAATACGCTCTACTGGTACTAATTATTAAATCAAGTTTCTAAAATTCCGGGTTGTTTTAAAAAGAACTTTAATTAAATAATTGAAACAATGGAACTGACTGCACGATTGGCGTGGTGGCTGGGCAACTGGCTGCCGGGCAACGTGTCGCGGGTTTCCCGCACGGAACAATACTTTGTGTGATCCACAAATTGTTGTTTCGGGCCTGGGTAGGTACATACACAGCACGTGTATGTAAAATTGTAGGTTTAAAAACGCACCTACGTCAAAGGAGAAAATCCTAGTATGGGGCAAGCTTTTAAAAAAAAAAGGAAATACAATTTAGGGCTTCTTACTATACATAATTATGACATATTTCGTAGGGCGATAATAATTGAAGTAGAAATTAAATGAGGATGACATACATTCTCAATTAGATATTTGATGTGTTTTGGGGAAATAGCTACCAAGAAATTGTTATTAGCTAAAAACAACTATTGAATTTAAAGCCTCCTTTGTAAAGTAAAGCATAGCAATAATATATAAAAAAAATACTGAATTAATAACTGTTGAGAGAAAAAGAGTGTTTTTATTTACAGTAATTTTCTTCTCATCAGAACCCCTGCGTTCCAATAACATCTACATTCTATGTTCACGAAGGTTAACAATGAAAGAAATCACACTATAACGGTGACCTAGTTAGTAATGGGCATTTAAGTACAGTTTCCTGGCAATGGCTTTGTACTCTTAAAACATATTTAGAAAAACGTTAAACATTCGAAGTCTTTGTTACATCAGCATCATACACACGATTGCGTTTGTAACTTTATTGATAGAAAATTCAACTAGTATAAATAAAACGATAAAAGAAGCGTTTAATTACATTGCTTTGTGTATGAGTATACCTGTACCCTGCATTCATGTTCTGGGAAATGAGCCGTGTTATTCGCTATAGTGTTCGTTGCGTCGGCGGCGGCGGCGACCGGTTACTGCTGTAGAGCGCTGCGCTTGTGGCGTGCCATTCGTGGACTGCGGTCAAACTGCACACTTACGTCAACAACGACAACGGATACCCACAGAGAGTAGAACAAGAATACTTGAGAAGGACTAAGACGTGTTTGTGACTCAGCTCATTTTAATTTACAAAACGGAAGTACAAATTCGTTTCATAGTTTGTCCAGATTATAACAGCTTTCGACCTAGATTAATCGTTACACAATCCACTATTTACACTGATGAGGCAGGCAGGCTTGCAGTTTACAGTTAATTAGGGAATCAACGGCTTGAGTTTGTGTTGGCGAGTGAACTGAGCTAAATTCTGGCCCTGTTTATAAATTGTAATGAGCTTTGTACAGTATACAGGTATTGAGAAGTAGCAAGAACACGTAAACCATCCAATTGTATAGAGTCAACAAAACTTACTGTAACTATGCAAAGCGTTGTAAAGGGACACTTGAAAGTCTTCTTTATAAAGGGACCTAAAGCTAATCGAAGGGTTTCCCGTGCAGTGACGTATGAGTAGGCAGGCACATGCAGTCCACATGACCGGCGTTTGTGGTACGAGTTCAGGTTACATCCTGTATTACATACACTGAGAAATAAGAACCAGGCAACGAAAATTCTGAATTAGTAAAATTTACACAGAGTCCATCTGTGCATTGTATGGTCCAATAGAAGACAAGTATTTTGAGAGCATACTATAATGTGACCATCTAAGTTTTTACTGTATTACTTTATTAAATCCAAGTTAAAAATATTAAGTTAGTACAGCAACATAAATCCTTTGGAATCGAATGTCGCTTATTGGTATGTTAGTAGTTGCTGGCTTCGACTAAACGTGCCATAGGTGTGAGTCACGTAACGGAAACGGTTCTTTCGATATTGATGTCTTAGCCTGATGCGTTCCCATGCCATGTTTTACTTTTACATAAGTAAGAAAGCTTTTTACTTTGCAAAGTTAATGAACAACTGTAATATTGAATATTTTTTATTGCTCTTTAAAATACAAATCCCTTTATTGACAAACATCTGCGCATCCGAGATACCCGGGCTGAGCACGTAAATTAAACTTAGTTGAACGAGCATTTTATTCTTTAAGAAATTTCTTAAAACATCTTTTTCGTAATGAAACAAGCATTTCGATTTACCGAATTAGAATTTTTTTTTTATTTTATGAATGAGGGTTTTTTGAAATCGTAGTTGTGTATAAGGGACCAGAAATAATATACGAACATAATTTCATTGCACACATTAAGCCTTTATAAATTATTGAACAAGTTAATGGATAAGTAAGTAGATAAAAACGAATTTCTATGGCAAAATGAAAGAAAAATTATTTTGACTGTTTCAATGACCTACCTAATAAAAGTAGCGTATCTTATCAGTTTATCAATGAAGATATCGCGAAATTAAGATGGACGCCGGTATTACTAACTGACATGTAGTACGATTAAATACAACTTGTCGTAGTTGCATTCTCACTCACATCATCATCACATGTAGATTTCTGAAATGCCACTAACTCCAAGGTTGCTTGATTCTTTATTGCCGATGTATTTCATTAATTGTATCAAACTCAACAACCTCACTGTTTAAATTAATGTACGCCTAAGAACTTAGTGCCGAAGTCAAGGCAAGCGTTATTTTACTTATTCCACCCTTTACTCGTTATTAGATTTAAATAACGACCGATATTCAAGCAGCAGTTCAACTTAAAGTTTGTTGGAGAACGTATTAAAAGTTTGTTTGAAAGCGTTTAGCAAGAGTAAATTCAAATGTATGTACAAACATTGTTTTCAATTACAACAAAACTGCCTTCGGAAATATTGTGTCGTTTATATAAACGTAAATCAACACGGGCACGGGCTAGTTGGTTATTGTTACGATACAGATGAGTGAATAAAGAAAGTAAACGTATTTTTATTCATTGCTCCATTATGTTCATCCCTGCTTCGTCAGTATCAATTACGCTATTGTGTAACCTGTACTTATCTGCGATAAATGTTTCAGTAAACTTTGAACTGTTCCTGTTTATGGAAAGGCTAATGTACGCTAACTTCAAACTGTCGGTATGATACTCAACACGTGTTGACTGTTGGTAACTGGGTCAGGCCCACCGAAGTCAATCAGGGGCTACGTAAAAAATAAACAAATTCACTATTTCTTAAAATTGCATCACTGATTGTTTAAAGTATTGAAGTCAGACTTTGATTAACACTGGAGTAGGTAGATAATAGATAATACTGATACTTTATAAACATTAAGGTACCTACCTTAGTTATATATATCTAGTTGTTTCCAGCCTTAAATACCGAAATCCAACCATTCTAAACTTATTGAACATTTCGTATCTCATTGTAAATTCACCAAACGTCCAAAATTTGTTAACATGCTTACACGATTGTCAACGGCTTACCGGCTTATTAGTAGTCCGCACAGTGCTGCAATAATGTTCAACATTGATACACCAATGTACCCTATAGATAAAAACGGAAGTCTGAATTTATTAATACTTTTTTCAAACAAACCAAATCCTAAGGCTTTAGGAACGCAAAAGGCTTACTGAAATTTATACGTGGGCAGTTTAATGATCCCTTTGAGACAATTATTAACGAAAAGGGTCCAGAATAGAGGTCAACGATACGTTACAATAAATGTTGAATAAGTGTCATCTATAAGGATTTTACTGGTATCCACATAAAAAACTGCCTACAAATTTTATCTTCGAACAAAGTCTGCAGATACATCGTATTTTCCGAGCTCACTAACACCGATCTGTCAACGGCTTATTCGATGTGTTTACTACCGATTTATTTCTTTTCGTAGTTACCCTAATTGTGGCGCAGTATTTTTATCCATCTGTTTTATCGTGAGTTCCCATTACTATTTCCAACGAGTAATGGGTAGCAACGTTCAAGATATGTTTGTAAGAACATGAATTTATGTTGGACGGTTATTCAGAATACGGGGAGGTGGTATTTTTTGGATTATTTGTATTACAACTTCATAAATATGTATATAAACGAAGTAATAATTATTAATTCCAACTAAACTATAATAGGTGCCTTTCAACATGCAGGTACCAATAAAATTATTATAAAATAAACTAACAACTTCCTATACAATGGAGTTCGAGTTCAGTTGCAAATTGATTCGTCAGATTTCTCTTGTGTTAGTGCTGACAGTTTCTATTTTTTTATTAAAGTTTTAAAAAACTGAATTGAAGTTCTAAAACGAGGCGAGTTGCTTTAATTAAGGCGAAACATCGTGAAATATTTTTAATTACCCGTGGGAGCGTAAAACGGGGCGTCATCTTTGACAAAGTTAGCTGGTTTAAATAATATCTTATTTAATCACAAACATAATATTTTATTTTACTAAGCGATCTCATGTAAAATGTTTCTTTCTACTTTCTTAATTCATGCGAGGTTCTTTACACCAACGATTCCCTACCCGTCCGCAGTAGCAATTTTGATGTAAGATAAATTCGGTCAATGAGCAACACGTCTACCATAACATAGCTCAGGCTGGTTAAATAAATAATGTTTCTTCTATGTTAATGGAGTTTGAGCTTCTGACAACATTGTTTGTAAATAAAGCTACCTTATACTAACCTACTTGTATAAGTACCTACTTAGTTTTCTTAAATTCTTATTTGTCCTACGAAAATTCTAAACAATTAATTCCTTTCAGTACAAATGCAACCACCACGGTTTAGCATGCAACCTTCATCATCAAACAGTATAGTTCGAGAAGGTACAACTAAAATCCTGCAATGTTCTGCTATGGGTATGTTATTATTTATTATTTTTAATTTATTTTATAAGTTAGTGTCTAGTTAATTAGCGATATGTTGTCATTAAGGGAATGGTAATTAATGTATGTTTTGACTCAAAATATTATTAAAGTAAAACTATTTTGAATATTTTAGGCATACCACAACCTATGTATAGATGGTTGCGGAATGGGGTACCACTCAGTGATTATTCATCAGAGTTGTTTTATAAGATTCATAATACCCAGCGGCAGGATGCCGGAGCTTACCAGTGTATAGCGAAAAATGACGTCGGAGCAATATTCAGCGAAAAGAACAACATTGTCGTCGCGTGTAAGTAAACTTTCATACATCTCTTTGTATTTTCACGTGTGTCTTTGTTGTGTAGGCGGAATAATCTTGGTGAAAAAATATGTCTTTCGTCCTGTAAACGGGACAGTTTTGTATAAAAAAGAAGTTTCGTCAACTCATAAACATCTGAAAGCCAGTGTGTATGTTTTGTACAAATGTTCCATAAACATATGAAATTATTTTCAGATATGGGTGTTTTTGAACCTATTGCTGAAACAATAATAACTGTCGAGTCTGGTAGAGCGGCATTATTAGCATTTCCTAAGATAGAATCAGAACCACCGCCTTCAGTCATATGGCAAGATGAGATTGGTGCTCTGCGATATGACCAAAAATATGCTGTTACCAACAAACATGAACTTGTAATACTTTGTACTTCACACGAAGATGAGAAGGCGTACAGGTAAAACATACTTTTTTTTCAATTTACTTATGCGTTGTGCCGGCACTCGTGCTTTGATTATGCAAACATTGGTTGATTATTTTTGTGATTGCTGAAGTTAATTGTGTATAAAATGATAATTTACAGAGTACGTGCTATAAATACGCAGTTAGGAAAAGAAGAAAATAGCCCATATATACAGCTTAACGTTTTTGGCAATGATAGTAAAGAAATTCCTCCAGAAATTATTATAAAACCAGAAGACACGAAGATTGTCAAAGGACAGGAATACACGAGTCTATACTGTATTGCAAATGCAAGGCCATTACACGAATTAGAAACCTTGTGGTTTAAAGATGGGATTATGATTGATTTAGCTGGGGTCACGTTCGACTTAAATGATCAGTGGAACAGAACATTAACCCTTATATCAGCCAATTTAACTCATACAGGAAAATATACATGCCAGGCTAGACTAAAAACAGGGGGGTATGCTACTGTCACGGCGTCCGCTTACGTTACAGTCTTAGAGAAGCCAGTTTTTCTGTCAAATTTAAAATCTGAAACTTTTGGCGAATTCGGAAGTACAATCGTCTTGGATTGTAACGTTCAAGGTATTCCATTACCAAGCATCACTTGGTATAAGGATGCTAGAAAAATTGCCAGTGTTGGAGCAGATGCAGAAGAATCCGATAATCCAGATATCGACGACGGCGGTGGAAGATATCGAGTGGAAGTGGATCGTTCTCTCGTAATCAACAACCTTAAAATGGAGGATACTGGAATATACCAGTGCATTGCTAGTAATGAAGCTGGCGAATCTTCCATTTACACGTGGCTTAAGATTAAAAGTAAGTAGGAACACTAAACATTTTTGCACAAACCTATAAATTTAATAATAATCCGTGCATACCAGATTAAAACAATGCATGAGAAAATGATGCTTAGTTGTTTAGATTTACAAAAAAATATGTAAATTTAGAACATTTTGTGTGATTCGTTCCTCGGCGCGTACCTACAGCGAGTACACTAATCCGTCAAGCTCTGTATGGCTCAGGGTCGTTGTCATATTGAATGTGTGTAAGTAAAATAACAATACTGACTAATTAACGTATGCCACTATCGTGCAGTGAAGGACAATAGGCGGCTTCCACGAAGTCACATGAAGTTAATACGAATGCGGACCTCCGATAAAAAGGCAAAAACGTTCAGATTTGACACTGGCAGTAAGGAAAAACTACTAGAAATTTTACATTTCTCACATATAGCATAGATGATTTTTCTTTTTCAGCACAGAGTGATGATTGCTTTGAATTCCATTGTTTTATTCCCTCGCCTTATGTGACATTGATTCCTTAATATTAGTTAGTGTTATTTGATATGTTATTAGATAATTCTGATTTATTTTAGAAACATTCCTGCATTAAGAGATTATATTTCTAATCCTTGGATGGATATATAATTATTATTATTTAATGTTAACAGCATAGATTACGATATACTATTTTGTATATGAGCACCTAATCTTCCTATATTTAGCTTGTAAATTTATAGCAAATTGTATTTGTTGTGTTCGATTTATACTGCACATAAATAACTAACTAGGTGGAGGAAATGTAACAACACTACTTTTATGTAGTACCTATGGCGCGTGTAAAACGCAAGAATTTAACGCGCATCCTTCTAAAAAATTCATTCATTCCCAGCAAAATTATAGTGGGCCACGAGACACCTGTGCGGTTTACTAAGTGTCGGCGCTCAATATTGACCATTTAAAGTTATGGTGTTTACATGTATCCACCATGAAATTAATAATACCTTTATGCCTTCATACTGATTGTTATTCTGTCTAAAGGAATTGTGACGAAGGCATTTAAAAAAAATCACCTGTTACTTATATTTTATTAAAGCATGACTTAAAATTCTTTTTATTTTTTAAAAGATAGCTGTACCAGGCACGTATCGAATTAATAATTAAGTATGTTTATGTATGAATTTAAACTATATTCGCATGCGCTTTTCACATTAAGAGAAGGTATCACAGAGTTTTGTGTAATATACTAGAAGATAACGTATATAAAGTTAACCCGCTAGTTCGTGTTCTAACTGTGTGCGTGTGGCTTGTAGCGTCCCCGCCCATAATGCAGACTCCGCCGAACAACCTGACCGTGCTTGATGGCAAGGACGCCACCATCACGTGCCGCGCCGTAGGAGCACCCACTCCTAACGTCACCTGGTATTTTAATGGTTAGTAATTAAGATATTTCACTACCCTCCTTTATTACAGATCCGCTGAAAATCAACCCTTGCGAAAAATGACCATGTATTTATCACTCACTGCTAAAATATTAAGCAGGTTCCAAATAATCTTGTTCCAAAAATTTAAAGTACTGAAATGTAGGCGTAATTAACGCCAAATTATATATGACATAAAATACAATCGATCGTTGTAAAATAAAACATTAAAGTTCTTCCTAAACGTGTTACTAATTCTGTTTGAACGATTTCGACTGTTACAGATTCTTTGATCATAAACTTGTCGGCACGACTGCAAGCACTTGAAGAAGGCGACTTGTTAATTACAAGTACAACGACCGCTGACAGTGGAAAATATACCTGCGTGCGATCCAACGATGCTGGGAATGTATCTGGGGAAGCTTATCTTACCGTACTAGGTGATTACTTCATCATGTCTACGTGTTTCAAATTTTATAAATAATACTTTTTAGATTTAAGTATTTACCTTTAAAAAACCATTTGTAATATTCCTGTAATCGATAAGTCACCTACAAATTGTTGAGGTAATCGATAAGATTGTATTTATCAACATTTTGATATCACCAATTTTTACTTTCAGTCAGATGTAGTAGGCATTTTTATTATTGCTATCATGATTGTTATCGTGCTGAGACATTTTTAGCAAATCAGTTTCTCGTAATTAATGTAGGTTATGTGGGCCAAATATTACGAACAAAAGAGGAATAAATAATTTACTGGTTGAAAGTATTACTTTCATGACAAAAAAATTAACGACCAAATTTAATTCTGATGATTTTCAGCTCAACGTCTTGTTAGAAACCAATTTTAAAAAAAAGAAGCAAGTCTTTATTAAATGAAATGAGCAAACAACTTCTTAGACAAAAGCGAAAGAGATGCTTTTTGAACCATTTAGATAATATCTTCAAAATGACGGGAAAAGCTTTTGAGTGCACAAAAGATAACCCTTTTCAACGTCATTTTACTTGATGAAATAGAAAAGTATTTTTCATCAAAGTTTTAGACCGCTTTCGGTAATAGTCGCTTTTACAACTTAGGTACACTCACGATCTTAAAATATAAAAAGTAAATAACAAACGTTTCCATTAATCTTATTATATTTATTTTACATTTTTAACTATTCCATACGGAACCCTAAATGAAAACATACTTTTTATTATTTCAGTTCGAACACAAATCATAGCTCCACCTGTAGATACACGAGTGTTATTGGGTCACACGGCAACACTACAATGCAAAGTATCGAACGACCCGAATGTGAAGTACAATATTGATTGGTTCCACAACAAACAGTGAGTTGCAAAAACATTTACAAACAATTTACTTTTTCAAATGAATGTTGATGACGTTTTGAGTTAAATTTTTGTTGTAGGCCAATGACAGCTGGTTCTAGAGTGTGGGTATCAGCAGATGGAGCACTACAAGTGCAGGCCGTGCGTGCCAGTGACGCGGGCGAGTACACGTGTGTAGTGACGTCGCCGGGCGGGAACCACACGCGACATGCTGTCTTGTCTGTCATCGAACTTCCGTTCGCTCCTACCAATGTAAGAGCTGTCAGACTCGATGCCGCTTCACAGCGAGCCGTTAACGTATCCTGGACTCCTGGCTTCGATGGGAACTCTCCCATACAAAAATTCATTGTACAGCGCCGTGTTGTGCCTGAGTTTGGTAAGTCTAGACCGCACCACCACCAATATTAATATCACACTTTCTCATACGTCATTGTTAATTACTTTTATCATTTTAATAATAGGACCTACACCTGATCCATTGTTGAATTGGGTAACGGAGCCGGTGAATGTCTCTGCAAACCAACGTTGGGCTCTTCTGACCAGTTTAAAGGCCGCTACGTCATATCAGTTCAGAGTATCTGCCGTTAACACCGTTGGAGAAGGACCTGCTTCTGATCCAACTGATGTCTTGACATTGCCACAGGAAGGTATGTGTTAAATCAGATGATGGAACTTTACTTATAAAAACATTTTTTTAGCCAAACAAAGAAAACAAAAATAAGGAGGAGTACGATTATTTTGAGACTAAATAAACGTGTAATTCAAGCGAGCAGACAACAATTTTATAAAATTATAAAAATAAAAATAATTTATGATTTATGCTTTGGGATGTCTGAGTACATAGCAAAAAGTTAGTTATTCGAAATATTTGGTAACGTCCGCGCGCCGACATGGGCGGCTTCCAGTTCAAAAACAGTACACTTGGGAGAGGATTAACACGAACAAGGCTACGCAGCCTTGAAATATTTTGACATTATAGAATATAGGTAGCATACGTATATCTATATAACTAGCGACCCGCCATGGCTTCGCACGAGTGCAATACTGATACTAAATATTTCCATAATTAAATGGATGTTATTATTATACTTATACATATCTTCATCTTCAATCACTCTGTATATTAAAAAAAAATCATAATCAGTTGCTTAATTTTAAAGATTTAAACATACATAGGAAGATAGGAGCTGAGAAAGCTATTTATTTTATGCTATTACATATGTAGTGATTATATTTCTTATTGTCTGTTGTGTTATGCCTACTTATAAGGGCACTATTACATGATTTCTGCACTCAGTCCTTAATATCTACTCACTATAAGGTTTATTTTACTTTAAATTATTATTTAATGTAATCTGCTGCTTGTAACATGAGGTAAGGTTGTTTTGGTGTTTCACTACTATTATTGTATTAAACTGTATTCTGTTTGCTGTCAAGCAGCCGGTGATCTAATATGCTGCCAAGGTATGCAGACTATTTCAGAAATAGCATTTGTTCGAGTTTGTTTTAAAAGCCTTTTTTGATTTTAAAATTTAAATTAGTAGATTTTTCATAGTTTTATATATCACAGACCTGTCTTGATTTTATTGCTTCGTTAAATGAAAATATCTCAAGTTTTTTGTCTTATTTTGTGCAATATACTGTGTACTGTCTGCATGTAACGTGATTTTGTCCGACTTAAGTAGGTACAAAATTTTGCCAGTAGTAAAAATATTGTTAAGTACATAATTTATTTATTAAAATTTCAATTAGGAGTCGTCATCATGCATGATTTGTAGCATGCATTATGCCATTTTTAATATTTCCGAATTTATTTATAAACACTGAATTGCAAGATTGAATGACCATGTTTTCTATATTAAATTGAAAATAATGTTAACGTAATCCCACAACTACATACATAGATAAAGATACCACCAGCATGTGACATGAACTCAGCGAAATGTATAACGTTATGTAAAATAATTACTTCTTATTAATAAACAGTTAATAAGCTAAACATTTATGTCTGCAGCCCCATCCGGTCCACCAATTGGCTTTATGGGATCAGCGCGATCTTCATCAGAGATCATAACACAGTGGCAACCGCCGTTAGAAGAACACAGAAATGGTCACATTTTGGGTTTCGTCATACGATATAGGCTTAGGGGTTACGACAACAGCCCGTGGACCTATCAAAACATCACGAACGAAGCACAGAGAAACTATCTTATTCAAGACTTAATCACTTGGAAAGATTACAATGTACAAATAGCTGCTTACAATGATAAAGGAGTTGGTGTATTCTCCGATAGTTACACGATCAAAACTAAAGAAGGAGTGCCTGAAGCGGCTCCGGACAATGTTCGCTGTGAGGCGGTTAACTCTACAGTCATAAGGGTTTGGTGGACTCCGCCGAGCCCTCAGAAAATCAATGGTATTAACCAGGTATGTGTGAATTTTTGTGCGAATTAAATTTGGTTATAATTTTTAAAACTTAATATTTTATCATCAATCTTGTTTCATAGGGTTACAAAATGCAAGCATGGATTTGGGACGAGAATGAAGGGGTTAACATCGAACAGAAACTTGTCAGTGTGCCTCCCAATCTCCTGGATCCTTTGACTGAACAATCAGCCATCATAACTGGACTAGAGAAGTTTACAAAGTACAATATCACTGTTTTGTGCTTTACGGAACCCGGCGACGGACCACGCAGTGAATACGTGCAAGTTAGGACGAACGAAGACAGTAAGTCAACATTAGTATAGAAACTCGAAATCTACAATAACACGTGTTTGCACGTGTAGTGGCAACTCACAAAACATCAAATACATTTCTATAACTTAGGTTTCGTATGTTTTCAGTTCCGGATGAAGTTGGAAGTCTTCTTTTCGATGATATATCGGATCGCGCAGTAAGAGTGTCTTGGACTGCTCCTAAAAAATCAAATGGTATCTTGGTTGGATACAAACTGTCTTATCAGATGAAAGACAGCAATGAAACGTTCAAAGAAGAAGTGTTGCCACCAAACGTGACTAGCATTCGAGTGGAGCACTTGCAGGTAATTAGTTAAACACAGAAGTTTATTCATTCAAAATTAAAACTTGCTTTTTCATTATAACTAGCTCAGTCCTGGGGTTCCAACCACATGTTTCAGCCTATATATCGTGGATAGATGAGCTTCGCAACAGTGTAATAATTTTTCAATTCGGTCAAGTAATTGTTGAGTTGATATTCAAACGAACAAACAGTCAAATCTTTCCTCTTTATAATACATATTTTAATTTTCTATATTCTTTATAATAAAATAATTACCAATAACACAAGGAACATCGATAACCTATATGCATTTCAAATTAAAAAATGTGTTTTTTTAAACGTTCACAAACATCAAAAGTTAACTAATTATCCGGTCTTGATTTCAGGCTAGCACACACTACAGGTTTTGGTTATGCGCTATGACGGTGGTGGGCGAAGGACCGCCGAGGGCAGCAGTGATCCAGTCCGGCGTAGAACCAGTACTCCCTGACGCTCCTCGCAACCTCGCACTTTCCAACATCGAAGCTTTTTCTGTACTGCTGCAGTTCACACATGGCTTTGATGGCAATTCCTCTATATCACTATGGACGGTGCAGGTAAGATTTATGTATCTTTAAACGGACTGCAACTAAACTAAATTTTTATAAGCTATATTTTATATCATACACTAGCTTCTCCCGCGCGATTTCACTCACTGCTCCGCTCATACAAATCGTAGCGTGATGTTTTATTGCCTAAAGCCTTCCTCGGTAATTGGACTAACAAACACAAAAATAATAAATATTAAATTCTAACCAATAGTTCTCGAGATTTGCGCGTTCAAACAAACAAACAAATAAACTCTCCAGCTTTATAATATTTGTATAGATGCGTGTGTACATGGAAACCACTAACCATATAACTAGGACGATAACCTCACGCGATAGATAATGTTTTGGAGGAAACCTTGCTAAATAAATATTTTTACTAATTATTGTAAAGTCTTAACCTAAGCAGAAGCAAGAAATAAATAACTTATTTATTATGTAGATGTTAATTAACTACTCTTACTAATTATGCGAATCATCCATAACAGGCTCAAACAGCACGCAATTCTTCGTGGGTGACTATATTTGAAGTGAACGCGCCGGACGCTCAGTCGATACATGTGACCGGTCTGGTACCGTTCACTACGTACCGACTGCGACTAATAGCCACCAACGTGGTGGGCTCATCACCGCCTTCAGAACCATGTAAAGAGTTCCAGACGATCCAGGCTCCACCACAACACCCACCAAAGAACGTCACCGTACGCGCTGTTAGCGCCACCAACCTACGCGTCAGATGGATAGTAAGAATCATTTCTTTTTTATGGGATAATTCGGCAAACGAGCAGGTAGATTACCTGATGGTAAGCAATCGGCAAACACCCGCAACGCAAAAGGTGTTACGAGTGCGTTGTCAGATAAAGGTTTCGGATATTTCAAATTAATAATTCCTGTATTATTTTAATAGCTGCATTCTATACAAAATTTTCTACGTTTCAGCCTCTACAGCAAAGTGAATGGTACGGTAATCCAAAAGGGTACAACATAACATACACAAAGAGTGATAGTAACGACACATTACACAGCATCATCGAGGACCACACGGCAAACTCGCACATACTGTCTAATTTAGAAGAATGGTCGGTGTATGAAATACGTATGACTGCCATAAACGAAGTTGGCACGTCTGTTCCTAGCCCCACTGCCACAGAGAGGACAAGAGAAGCAGGTGAGCTTCAGTTATTCAAACAGGAGGCCCAGTCCTCATAAAACCTTGCTACGCCCTTATAGACGTTATTGACGAAATCACGTAGCAATCTTATAAAAATTAAAAATTACAGATATAGTCTCGAGTTTTGAGCGCAACTTATTATTTGAAAACTTCTACATTGTGTTTATTATTCGTAAATATGTTACAGTTCCGTCCCGGGGTCCTACTGATGTATCAGCTAATGCGACCTCATCTACAACAGTTGTCGTCCTTTGGGGAGACATACCACCATCAGAACAAAACGGTTTAATTGAAGGGTACAAAGTGTGCTACGCTGCGATAGTGCCACCGCCAAGACCCGAACAAAAGAAGGTGGAATGCCAAGCCGTACCATCGAATCAAACTCACACTATAACGCTGACGGAGCTCCGTAAATACGTCGTATATCAAATACAGGTGTTGGGTTATACCAGGCTAGGAGATGGAGCTCTAAGTGACCCGCCGATTACAGTCAGGACGTTTGAAGACAGTATGTATAAACAGGTTTACTCAGGTCTCCAAAAAAAAAAAATACGTTTATTAATCCATTTTTCTTACTTCCTAGCTCCCGGTCCACCATCTAATGTGTCATTCCCTGATGTGACATTCACGACGGCACGCATAATCTGGGATGTACCAGAGGACCCCAACGGAGAAATACTAGCGTACAAAGTTACGTACCACCTAAACAGCACAACACAACACGTGTTTTCTAGAGAATTCCTGCCTTCTGATCGAACATTCAGGTATGCATAATCTATTTAACAATGCTTTTACGTTAACCAATTTTAGGTGATATGTAAGAAATCGGTTAGTAGTAACTGAAACGGGAGCGACGGAATTTATTGAAATTTATGTTGTCATTATGACTTCAAACTAGTAGGGCTTTCCTCAGTTAAATCACATGAATAAGTCGTGATTTTCAGTTTGAGTATGTCTCACGATATTATTCAAAAACAGAGCGACGGAGTTGGTGTCGGAGCGGTACTACCAGTTCTCGGTGCGGGCGCAGACCCGGCTGGGCTGGGGCGGCACGGCGCGCGCGCTGGTGCTGACGACGGCCAACCGCGCCGCGCCGCAGCCGCCCGCGCGACCCAACGTCGCGCGATCCTTGCTGCAGCCTCACCACATCACCTTCTCCTGGACGCCCGGGGACGACGGCTACGCTCCGCTCAGGTACGCCTCGACACACTCATCGAGTCCAACTCCAGCTGCTGGAGGAGAAGGAGCGGGGGATGTTTAGACTGTAACGGCCTTATTACAAAACAAGGTTTTACTTTAGTCTAGGACTAAACCATTGAGCCAGTTTTCGTATTACGAATTGAAGGTAGATGACAATAAGATTCAAAATTCAAAACACGAATCAATGGTTTAAACCTGTACTAAAGATAAATCTTGTTTTGGAATAAGGGGGTAAGAGTATGAAACTCCCTCCCGCCCGACCTTAGGCGGGAGAAGTCATCTGATGATTTTCTCCTCCCAAAAAATGTTACAATATGCAATGTCTCATTCCAGATACTACACTGTGCAACAAAAAGAAGATGGAGGCACGTGGCAAACAATACCCGAGCGTGTGGACCCCTTCGTGACGTCGTATACTGCTGAGGGTTTGAAACCATTTACGGCGTATCAGTTCCGAATTCGAGCGACCAATGATATCGGACCTAGTCGGTACAGTAATGCGACTGAAACTGTACGAACACTACCTGCTGGTAAGCATATGTGTATATATGCCCATAGAAAAAAACGTCTAAATGGCCTATTAGTGGTTTGACCACATTTTTTTGTTTGTCTTTTAAGTCTTAATGATCTCAAATATAGTATAAATAAATAATGTTTGCATTCCAACTTTATACGAGACTTTGTTTTGATAGCACCGAGTAAAGCTGTTGAAAACTTGCACGTGGTGCCAATAACACCGAACAGTGTTCGCGTGCACTGGTCCCCGCTGGGCGAGGCGCACTGGAGCGGGGACACTCGCACTGGCGGGTACCGCGTGCGATACCAACCTCTCACCGACTTCCCCACCGCGCTGCAGCAGACCATGAAACAGGAGGTGCCTGGCATTAAGGTGCGATCACCCTTCGTGACTTATTAAATCGCTGATTTTTTTTCATTGTTTTTAAAACTGGAAAGCCTTTTCTATTAATGAAAAAACTAATAAACGATAAGTCTGTTACTAGAATTTTCAACAACAGCTAATTATGATAAAATGTACGTATATTGGAAGCGTTACAGCAGTATCATAAGCAAATGTTGAGTGTATGTTTGCATGTTTGCAGAGCGAGGAAGTAGTGTTGAGTGACCTGGCGGTGGACCGTAACTACGAGATCAGCGTGTGCGCCGTGAACTCTCAGGGCGCGGGCCCGGGCGGCACGCCGGCCGTGGTGTGGGTGGGCGAGGCCGTGCCCACCGCCGCGCCGGCGCACACGCGCGCGCGGGCGCTCTCCCCCACCGAGGTCACGCTCGCCTGGGCGCCGCCCGCGCCCGCGCACCACAACGGGGACCTGCTCGGCTACAAGGTACGTAGCCCTATTGTAACCTAGCTTACTGTTCATCTTAAACGTATTTTTCTAGTTTACCAAGATTTAATAAAATGCTACTTTTCATTTTTTACTAGATCTTCTACCTAGTGACCGACTCTCCTGAAGAGCCGGAGCCGGGGCGACGCATAGAGGAAGAGATCGAAGTAGTGCCCGCTACAGCTACTTCGCATTCACTCGTATTCCTTGACAAGTACACCCAATATAGGATTCAGGTATGTGTCTCATCTGAATCACACAAAATATATAAGAAAACAAGAAAAAAGTTTTATATTACGTCACGACCGATATTTTGATAGACATTTTTTACCGTGATTCATACAGGTGCTCGCGTTTAATGCTGCCGGAGACGGTCCTCGTTCAACTGCAGTAATGGTCCGTACGTTGCAAGGTCTTCCGTCGGCTCCTCGCAATATAACGTTCACGGACATTACAATGAACAGTCTCGTCGTTTCGTGGGAGCCGCCGTATCGCCGCAATGGCATCATTCAAGCATATCTTGTCACTTATGAAACTATAGAGCAGGACGAACGTAAGCTTTCGAATGACAAATTACACAATTTAGAGACGTAAGTGAGCTGTAACAGGTAGGGTAACGTGTTGCGTGGGCCAGGTTTCAGCAAGCAAGTGAAGCAGAAAGTGACGGAGCGGCGGCTGGCGGTGGGCGGGCTGGAGGAGGAGGTGGAGTACCGGTTCAGCGTGCGCGGCGTGACGGAGGGCGGCGGCGCCGGCGCGGCGGCCGAGGCGCGCGCGCGGACGGGCCCGCAGCGCGGCTCGCCCGCCCCGCCGCGCGCGCTGCTGCTGCAGCCCGAGCCCGCCGCGCTGCGCCTGCGCTGGATCAACGCGCCGCCGCCCGCCTCCAACGCGGACCCCGCCGCCCCCCTCCTCGGGTACTACTTCGAAGCGCGCCGCAAAGGTATGCTCACACTACTACTACCTACATTAAACCTATTAACCTAACCATTCAACCTATCCCACACCATGCTATTATTGTAGCAAAAAATAAATAAAAATATCATGTTTTGGAAATGTCATATGTATGAATATTATATTTTAATGCAGCCAAGGAGTCGTGGCAAGCCTGTAAGTTTTCGTCATCTTCTGCACCTCGTAGAAATAACCTGACACGAATATTATATCCGTACTTGTAAATCATCACGTTATAGTTTATGAATATTAGTTTGATGCGTAAACAAATAGCTATTATTATCATGTATTATATATATATTTGTGCAACCTTAACCTGCCTTTACATGAAAATATGATCCATTTTAACTTTAATTCTCACTTTTCCTATGCACAGATGACACAAGATGGGAAACTATCACCAGAACCAGCAATGGAATGTTAGAAGAGTTCACTATATCATACCAAAGTCTGCTACCATCAACGGCGTACTCATTCCGGGTGATAGCATACAATATGTATGGAATCAGCAATCCGACATACAGCGATAAAGTCATCGTCACGCCTTCAAAGTTATACTTAGAGTATGGGTACTTACAATATCGGCCCTTCTATAGACGCACTTGGTTCATGGTCGCGCTGGCAGCTGCGTCAGTCATCATCATAATAATGGTTATTGCAATTCTATGTGTGAAAAGCAAGAGTTACAAATACAAAAGTAAGTTTTATTACAACATATGCTAACCAACGATTCACGTATTGCTTATGAGATTGAATGAAAACGGGAGCAAAATATGAATGAGAATGTCCGTGTTTTCAGAAGAAGCGCAAAAAACTCTGGAGGAGTCTCTAGCGGGAGAGAGCGAGGAGCGCGGCACGCTAGCCATGGAGCTGTACCGCGGGCGCCAGAACTCGTGCGGCAGCGGCGGCGGCGGGGGCGCCACGCTGCGCCGCGGGGCCGCGCTGCCCAAGTCTCCGCCGCGCCCTGCGCCCGGCTCCGTGGCCTACCACAGTGACGAAGAGAGTCTGCGCGCCTACGACGAGAACCCTGACGACTCCTCTCTCACCGAGAAACCCTCGGAGATGAGTTCCTCCGACTCCCAGGTCATTACTATAAAAATCAGTGTTGTTTAAACCCGCGCTCACAGTCGACACTCTCACTAAATTACCCCCTTATTTTTTCTCCATCACTCCCTGGAGCGCGTTACGGTAAATATCGACGACTGAGATCTCGCTACTGCTATCGTTATAATTTTGAACACGCTTTCGACGAATTCAGCACGTAGACGTATTTTTGTTGGGTTGAATTTAGTAAGTTAGCCTTAGCGGCGTTTTAGTTAATAAGATATTTTCAATAGACCAATATTATAAAATTATTACATTCTTATAAAATTATATGTGACTGTCTTTAAAAATTTTACCAGAAATTAGACTATCAATAACAAACTAAAGTAGAACTACCTACTAACTATAATGTGGATTAAGTTTGATTAAAAAAAAATTACATTAATTAAATTAAACCTCGGATCTTGTTATTGGTTTTCTAGTTCATAAATAAAATCAGTTATTTTTTTTTCTCATATACGAGTAACGTAATCCACAAATAAATACTTAATCGTATGTGTACTTGATAAAATAAATAATAAAGTTCTATATATTTCCCGCAGAATTCGGAGAGTGAAAACGAGAGTGTAAGATCGGAGCCGCATTCTTTTGTAAATCACTATGCCAATGTGAACGATACGTTACGTCAATCGTGGAAACGGCAGAGGCCGGTGAGGAACTACTCAAGCTACACAGACTCGGAGCCAGAAGGCAGTGCCGTAGTTAGCCTAAACGGTGGGCAGATCGTCATGAACAACATGGCGCGGTCGCGGGCTCCGCTGCCAGGCTTCTCCTCGTTTGTATGACAGGAACCCGCCAGCACGGCACCCGCTGAAGCCGTGCATATGTAACATTACACTGCCCATTCCCAATTATTTAAATTTAATTAAATGTTAGCTATTGCAATTATTGTACATATCGAATATAATCTGTAAGCTTTAACTAAATTGGTAGAAAATCTGAAATAAAATTATGATCTTTCAGATTATTTATTAAGAAGTTTTAAATTATATATTCATATCTAAGTAAATATAAATTATGTAAACTTAAAGTTACATACAGTTGCAGTTTTTGATCATAAACATGTTAAAAAATTTGAACATTACATTAATATTTAATGCCATACCACAAATTAGAAAGTAAATAAGATAAGAACTGCACATAAAATTATTGTTAAGTAATGAGCTATATTAGACGAATGGTAGCTTTCGGCAGCTAGTTAAAAATAAATACAATTGAGATCTCGTTTATTTAATCTGCGTTGTAATATAAGTTTGGCGCGCCTACATGTTTAGGACATCCAACCAAAATCCCTTTTTGTCGAATAATGTGGTTAAAAACACTGAAAATTGTTGTTGTATAAATAAAATTTTTGATGATTGATGTTAATCACTTCTTGTAAGTTATAAGTTTGAGGTCCAAATTATACTGTATAGTTTTGTCCATCATCTTAGACTGTATAAAGTAAGAAGTGGATACTCCTTTTGTTATATTGTTGATGTAATTAATCCCGTTACTCTGTCTATTGGGATAAATTGGTTGGGGACTGTCCAAGTGGTTACATTTTGCGTATGTACTTATCTGTTTATAGAAATTACTTAATCGGGTGCGCCCTTACCGGCAAATGCACCTTTTTCTTAAAATAACATGTTAGACAAATTAGAATGTACCTTTTCAAACCGCAACACAATCTTAAGGAACATCTATAGTAAGGTTATATACCAATATTATTCTCCAGTTGTGAGTATAAGCACCCAAAACGACTTGTTTTAATTTTAATGCCTATATTTTTATAAGCTCTTTTTATAATAGTTTATTTGATGTATAATTGTGTTGGTGTGATGTGCCAACATAAATTCATTACATTGTCCAAACACTTTTATTGATTATCTGAATAAATTTATTAAAACTAAATATTTATGTTTATAATATTATAGTGAAATAAGTAGTACTATCTGGCCGTTAATAAATGCAACGTCGATATACTATTATTTTATTAAAAAATAGAACATGTTGACATTCTCAATGAATTTCAAAAACTATTTTAATCAGTATTGATTAGTGTATAGTTTAAACTTACGTAACTCCAGTTTCAATAGCGACTCGTCTAATAGACCAATAAGCGTGTTAGTTATTTAGCATTTATACTATTTTTTATAATTAATATGCAATTGACTGATAGATTTAGTGTCTAATCCTTTACATGTGTACATATATTTTAAAGGTGACAAAATCATCCTGGTATTTATTCAAAAATATTTGGCACAATTTTTTCAAAATAACCTGTGATTCATGTATGTATTTTAAATTATTACTTATTAAATGTTTATTACTTAGAAACAAATAAACTGTTATGAAAACTATACACAAAATTATAATCGAATGTTCCAAAAAAAAAAAACTTAAATACAAAAATTATTTAAGTGGACCCATACTTTTTATTCATGCATGCGGCACCACTTTGTCGTGTCTCACTGCAAATCGAAGACATATTTTGAAAAATAATCCATTTATGGTGTGCCATGAATTCAAAGACTAAACCAACTTTGTCAATAAATGTATCCTAGGTAATAACTTTTTTAATTTACTTAATAAATAGAATTAATTAAATCATAAAATGTCGTTATTTTTTGTTCCTTTATTATTTAAGCTGGTGAATGATTGATTAGTACCAACATTTCCTTAATTTAGCTTAATTAGCACACTATCACTGCTGCCAACTGGGCCAAACACAGGACAAGCTACTGCTTATTTTTTTTATTTAAATTAAACTGCTTATTTCTATTGATATCCATATCCTATAAGTCATGGGTCAAGGAAAAATAAAATAAGTGTCAAATGCTATTTATTCAAATAAGTAGTACATAAAATTACAAAAATAATTTGTTTGTTTTTTCGAACCATGTTTTTGAAACATAATTAGGTACATTCTTCCATTGCTTAATGACATTAAAAGCAGCTACATCCACAATAGAAAATTCACTTCCATTTATCCAGTTCTTTTCATTTGCAAATAATTTCTTTACAAGTGCTTCTTTGTTCTTATCTGATGCTCTTTCCAGTACATGGCAGATATCAAGTAATGTGTCTACATTATGATCATTAGCATTGTATGGTATAACACTTGGATAAACACAAGACAGATAGCGTAATATGTTCACATTGCCTATGATGGGAACATCCAGGGTAGATATCTTCAATTCTGTATCAGCCGAAACTGAAATAATGATACCAGATCATTAAAGTTTATTGTAATCTATAAAAATCGTTGTTTGTAATGAATGTGTTAGTATAAAATATGTTAAAACTTACCACATTTAAATATCAGCCTCAAATTTATTGCAGAATTACTTTTAGTTTCTTTTAGATTTTTAACATAGTTTTTAATTTTCGACACTTTTTCGTTAGGTACAGAAGAGTGAATGTGCCATGAAATGTTCAGATCTACAGGTTTTTTCAAAATAAGATTCAGGTACCAGGGCAAACTGTCTGGGCTGAGAACCAAAACAACCTCTTCTGGTGTAGGCAGCTGCAAGAAATTTATTGTAATATATATTTTGTGAGACACATTAAATTTACTAATTATACATTTCATATGCATAACATACAATTTGGCATCTCACAACACTGCTAATCAAATTAGTTATCTCTCCAAACTAGTTATCTCGCCAAACAGTTGCACAAATAACTAACATAAACCATCCAATCCAACACAATTAATTAAAATATTCATTTATTTAAATAAAGATCATCTCAATAAAACTGTTCCTAAACAAAGTTTTACTTTATAGTTTTTTTTTTTTATATATTATATTATGCAGAAAATAAATAATAAAACTTACACATTTATCTTGTTTACTTGTTTTAGTTTCTAGAATGTTGTTAACATTACAATAGGAACTAATTGTCTTGATTCTGTCATAGAGAGTATCCAATTTTTTCAATAATTGTTCCTGGCGATGTTCTAGCTCCGACATTTTATTTGACCCCTGTAAAGAATAAAACCTTTACAATTTTTTTTTCTTTTATTAAATAATTCATATATAGTATACATTCCTACAGAATTCAATAAAAAATATCAATTAATTACTATAAATACTAAGTGCATGTAAAAGTATAAATTGTAAACTGACACAAAATTATGATGATGAATGTCTCAGAAGCACATTACTGAGAAATATAAATAATAGGAAAATTTAAATTGTATTCATTCTATAACATTTGTACCTGCAACATATATATAATAGTAAAAACTAATGTATCCCTGATTGTTAGCAAGCTATGACCTAAACATATCATATTGTTAATTTAATAATTTTAGTGACAAAAACCTTAAGAAACTTGATAACCTGGGCACTGACACCGATGTCGCTATCGCTATAATCTTCTTGGAAAAACTCTGTGCGATATTTTACGGAATACATGCAGTTCGGCAAAAAGATTTCTTTATCGTGATCAATGATTTTCTTCATGTGATACATCATTTTCCAAATATTTGTGGATAAGTCACTATAAATTACTATTTTAGGATATTAATCTTACCAACCCGGCAGTCAAGAATACAAATTAAATATGGATTAAATTTACTCAGATTCAGCCACGTTCTGCACGATCGTTCGTTCGATAATACCTTAGGTTATTGACATTGACAACTTTGACAACTCATAATTTGACATACAGTTATTTATGGTAAAGCAAAAATTGTTCAATAGGTCGACGCCTTTAATCTTGTACAGACAGCGTTTAATCTAAGTACACACAGTACATTCACAGTACTCAAATATACTTTGCAACCAAAACATCGAAATATCGATCCAAACTGTATCGATTGAACCGATATTTATGACCTATCTATTTCCTGGCAACGTTTCAGCAACTTGTTTTGGGAAACGAAAAGTTATGCTGACGAACAATTACCAAAAAGATATTATGAAGGATGGTACGGTAGACATTTTGTCAGGTACCTATCAAAGAGTATGTAACCACTACGTTACCTATATGTAAGTCCCCTGTCTGTGGGGAAGTCATCGCCCCATGGAATCCATCTGACATATAATTTAGGGTTGTTCTCACCTAAGTAATGGAAAGTAATTGCATAGACACAACCCCGTAGCCAGGATTATTCACCAGTAACTTGCTTCGAAATACAAACTTGTTGAAGCTGAAGTGCCGTACCATGAAGTATCTGCCTGGCTCAGTTCTCGAAAATGGGCATGTCACACTGCATTGGGACTTACTATCATCACTGTCAACAAATCATAACTTGATTTAGTGCATGAGATTGTCGACATGTGGGATGTAGACTCTGCAATCACTGGAAATTCCTTCTCTTGGACTGTTTGGACTCCTCTCGATATCAGTGGGACATTGCTTTTTAAAATTTTATGAAAATGTAAAAAATAAGCAAAAAGTTCTGTGTCCCAAAGTGCAATTATTTTTTGTTCACCACTATACCTGATAAATTATTTTACGCTAGGCTGCCTACCCGTCTCAGCCTTCACGCCTTGTACCATTGCCATGTCTAGACGTGTCGGTGGCTATACTTCGTTCGTCGAACGACTGTATAATTTCATAGGCAATGGTAGGTCAGTATGATAGAATAGTTTATATTTTGTTGTTATATTACTATGGTCTTTTCGTTTCCGTTCACGGGATCACAGGGTCCCGGACCTTTAGAAGGCGTACTAGGGGCCGAAGCCAACTCGAAGAGGCCCATTGAACAACTTTAATAAGTGAAATGGGACATCAGCCGGCAATTATCCCTGTATTCACTATGAAAGTGCACCCAAGAATAATCCCCGGTTGATGCAGGACTATTGCGAATTGTGGTAATAATTGAAAGGATTATGGGTATGGGTTGCTATGGATATGATAACTATGGAAATACTATGGCCCCTGCCCCTGACCATTATTGATTCATACGGATAAACAGGCAGGGGGTGACTGGCAAACTCAATTAGTGGGCTCCCGGAAACAGCCGCTAGCATTTAGCGACACGGAGGTAACATACGTTGAGCTGCTTGTGGAAGGAGAGGCATCCCACGGCTATCAGAGCATTCCCGGAAGTACGGTCAAGACCCCTACCAGCACTTTACTAAGATACATCCTTCCCCCGAGTCTCCTTCTTATAAGCTTACGAACTTATAAGCTTGCGAATCTGGAGATTCGCAAGCTTATAAGTTGAAGCCAGCCAATTAAGGCAAGAATGAGGTAGGAGGGCTTGTTCTTGATCAGTTTTTACTCACTGTCATATTATTACTCTATTAGTGAAATAGTTAGGATGTCAAAGGTACAAAGTTATATATTTCGGATTTAAGTCAGCACTCGTGTCCCTTTTGTGTAGTGACGTGTTAGAAAGCCTCGGTTTCATACATTTGTCAGCCTCCGAATAATATATTTTGCTCTTTACACTTACTATTGAATGTCATTAATAAGAGAGTGCTTTTGACGTGTGTATTTTTTTATTAAATCAATCAACAGCAAATATAGTATTATTTTTTAAAAGGACTTGTACTTGGTACGTGGACTACCTATCCGATTAAAATTTGACAGTGAATGCGATTTTCTTTACTTGCAACATTGCAAGTTAAAACATATCGTTGTCTATGTAGGAAATCGAATTCGTTTGTCAAGTTTCATCAAATACAAAATCAATGTATACCATAGACAATTATTCACATCCGTTTCAATTGTTTGACTTATTAAGCAACAAATATCTATTTATAAATTATAATAAAATTGTAAATGGTTTAAATAATTTTTAAAGCTTATGAACTGCTGTAAGTGTAAAAGAAAATAAAATTAATTTTAAAAGAAAGTTAAGTGAGTTGTCTTGTCGAATCGTTTTGAAAGAAAGAAAATGGCTGCCGATGTGTTCTGTGCGGCAACTACCACTCCTTCCAGTGATAACTATTGATAAATAAGTCTGTAAAATAGCCCCAATATTTTATATTTTTGAATATGAATTATTGCTCGTGTATCAGTTGCCTTCAAGGAGAGAGTTAATTTGTCGTATATAAAATTCAATACCTACGAGTAATGAAAACGACATGGCGGACTGATAATCAACCAATGAGAAGCCAGCATCAAGCGTTTGAGAATTGCATGTACTCGCATTTCGCGTCATTACGTTTTCGGTGCCTTCTTTCTCCAATAAAATTTGTAGGTAATCTAATGATATCAGTGAGTTGATTGATTTCTTAGTTAATTGTTATAAAGACAGTGTGAATATTGTGTTTAAAATTGTTATGAGACGATCTTTTATAGTGAAGCATCCCAAAGGCTGGGATCATGACTGCGTTGGATTTAGGATGAACTGAAATGCAATACCATCTTTTTGTTTTTGTAAACAAGACTATGTTTTTACGATACACGTGCGAGACTGTATACAATTGACAGTTGTTTGCAATGATGTCGGGAAGGGGGGCAAAGAAACGCGGAAGGCCCCCAAAATCAGGGAGTTTCGAGAAAAGTAGGAAATTCCAGTATCATTTGTTGAAAAAACCAAAGTATTTACTAAATCAACAAAACGCGGGATCTACTTCTTTGGTTAGCACTCCATCAGCATCAAGAGCTTCATCACCTCAAGGAAGTGATATAAGTAGACGAAGTACACGAAAACAACGAGGAGGCAAATCGCATAAAAATAAAAGAGGTGGACTATCAGGCTCATATTCTCGGAGAGGATATAATCCGCACGCTGCGGATTACCATGAATCGGAATATCATTATGGATCTGATTTTGGTGATGAATATAGTGATAGATCGGAACCTGAAGAAGATCGCGGCTCTGAAAGTTCTGATGCCAGTGTTGGAGACGGTGCTGCGAGTGACAGTGACTTTTCTGTGAGCAGTTACAGCACTACTAGTGGTACTCCTCGTAAGGTTAACAATTTACTCAGACCACCTAGTCCAGATCCTCTGTGGCTTCAACAAGAACGACAAATCCCATCCTTAGAGCTTCCATCTTCATCAGATGATCTGCTAATTCCACAGAATTTAATCTTACAAGTAGTAGGTGTTTATGAAGTGTTGAGACACTTCAGACATCTTGTACGATTATCACCATTTCGCATAGAAGATTTATGTGCAGCTATAAGTTGTGAAGAGCAGAGCAATCTACTTGTTGAAGTGCATATGATGCTACTAAAAGCTTTATTAAGAGAAGAAGATGCTCAACAAACACATTTCGGTCCTCTGGACCATAAAGACAGTGTTAATATTACCTTGTTTTTGCTAGATGTCATGACATGGCCTGAAGTCCTTAGAATTTACATAGAAAGTGATAAATCATTTGATCAGAATGTTGTAAGAATTTTAAATGCATGTGAATATCCATTTACTACAGTGGATGAACGGCTGGCTGTTCTACAATTCCTATGCAACCAATTTCTAATAACAAATCCGGTTCGTGATGATCTACTCAGTGAAGGTAAGTTGCATTTCTTTTTTTTATTGGTTATTCCATTACTAATTCCATAATTTCTATTTATTGACAGAATATTTAGTGTTCAAAAGTAAGAGCCACTATTCCACCTCATGAAAAATTACAATTAATTATGCAATGCAATGTGACAAGAATTTATAAACCTAAGAATTACTTGTTTGGTGTCCACACATGACGAATAATGATATCTAAGTTTATATTTTCTGTATTGTCTACCATAATAATGTACACTAAAGATTTTAAATAGAAAATCTTATCAAGTAAAAATATTTTTAAAGTGCTTAAAAACAGTACTTGTTACCATTACCATCATGATTATTTCAACCAAGAAATGTCTGTCTATCTTTGCTTACAACCACTGTATGCAAGACTCTTTTGAGAAGTAAATTTTCTTATTGCTTTATATAATATAGGGCAGGCCTACTTTAAATTGTGGACATCTTGTGGCTAATATATTTTTTAATTTTTGCTTTTTGATAAATTTAATTTTTATTACAATGTGAACATTAACATGATTATCAAAATTATGCTTATATTGTATCTTTCAACTCAGTGTAATATATGTCTCTAGTCATGAACAGTCAATAAATAGAATACTTTTATGTATTTTACAGTTCCTATACATTATGATGATCATTGCCGGGTATGTCATCGCCTGGGAGATCTGCTTTGTTGTGAAACATGTCCAGCAGTATTTCACTTGGAGTGTGTAGATCCTCCACTGGGTGATGTGCCATCTGAAGACTGGCAATGTGCATTATGTAAACAACACAAAACAATGGGTGTGACAGATTGCCTCCCAGATGCTGAAAAACAAGGGCTAATGTGTAGACATGAACATTTGGGCTTTGACAGGCATGGACGAAAATATTGGTTTATAGCTCGACGAATTTTTGTGTAAGTAATATTAGTTACTATATAAAAATATTTTAACAATCTAATAATAAAAAAATGTATGTTGTCAAAAAGAGGCAAATTACACAAACTGAAAATATTTTAATTATTTTTAGGGAAGCTGAAAATGGTGATGTTTGGTATTATTCATCATCTGAGCAATTTGAGGAACTGTTGAATGTTTTAGACTCTAATGAAATGGAAGCTCCATTAGTTAGAGAGCTGTTAGAAATGAAACAGGAAATTTTGAGACAAATGGATATCACAGAACGTCTTACTAATCAAGTAAAAGGAAACCGTAAGTCATATTTAGAAATTGAAAATGCTAACATAGTCAAACAGCGAAAATTTAAAGAGGAACAAAAACGGCAAGATCGTAACCCAGAGCTAA